CCTACAGACAACAGACAGACGGACAGACAGACAACCCAAGGATGTGTGTGTGTATATACATACATACATACAGACATCCATCCATCCATCCATGCATGCATGCATGCATGCATGCATGCATGCATGCATAGATACATACATGCATGCAAGCATGCACGCATGCATACACACATACATACGTACATACATGCATGCATACATACATATTACATACAGACACGACACAATACGATGCAATAAACCCTAAACCCTGAACCCTAAGCCCTGAACCCCAAAGACTACACCCTAAAGCCTAAACCATAAACCCTGGACCCTAAACCGCAAACCGAGAAGCTCCCTGAATTCCGCACCCACCTCGCCGGTCTCGTCCTTCGAAGCTCCGAAGAGCCAACTCATGGCTGTGCAAGTAAGGCTGGCAGAAAGGACGAAAGAGCAGGAAGAGGCTCCTGCTTTTGCGGTACCGCGTTTGGGGTTTAGGGTTTTGGGTTTAGGGCTTTGGGTTCATTGGCTTAGGGCTTTGGGCTCAAGAGGTTCAGTGTAGGGCCTCCACCGGCTTCTGCGCTATGGAAAAACTTCTCTGTTGCCGCTTGCAGTGTTTTAGGGTTTGCGATGGGTATTTTAGCCCGAGGGCGTAGAGGTTTGGAGAACCAGGGAGGAAAACAGCCAGCGTGTTAGAAGCCTCAGCCCTGTTCGAGTTCTACGGCTTCTTTCTCTAACGAGTCTTTGTTGTTCTTGTGCCCTGAGACCATGAGAACATGTCTTGCTCTAGCGTGTTCTTACGCGGGTCGTGTCCCATGTTCCCTAAACCCTAAACCCTAAACCATAACCTGTCGGTGTTCAGTTCAGCACTCATGCAGCCCAGGGCCCGCGGGCCGAATAGGCTGAAGCCACAACGGCTGCAGAAGCCCCAAAACAGTCAGGCTGTTGGGGATTCGCTGGAGTTTAGGGTTCATGCAAGAGAGACCTTGAGCACTAAGGTTTAGGGTTCATGGTCAAGGGTTGATACCCCAAACTCCCGCTTGAATTGTTAAGACTCCTGTATTTCACCCCATTTTTCTACACCTCTATCATGAAAGCCCTTGCAAGCCCTCGCTCTAAGCATTCAGACCGCCACGCCCGAAGCAAATCCGTGATGCTCTGAGCATTACGACTATCGCTACTATTTGCTATTGGTTGCACATATGGCTATAATTAATTCTGTAGTTTTTACTGGCCGCAGGGGTTTGGGTGGTTTAGGATTTAAGACTTGGGGCTGGCATGTTCAAGGGTTAACGGGTACTAGAGGTTAAGATGGACACCGCGGCGCAATGACAGGTCAAGTTGAAACTCCTGAAGGCAAATCGCTCCAAGCCGAAACCTTAAGCCGTAGCCATGGGCTTGAAGGTTCAATGTTTAGGGCTGAGTTTAGGGCTTAGGGCTTAGCGCGAAGGGTGTACGGAGTTCTGGCCTTCAGAGTTCAGGACCGATGATGATGATGATGATGATGATGATTACTTAAAGGATCATGGGACTTAGTAAGTAAGGTTATAAGTCCCTTAATTGGGATTATAAGCAAATACAAGTATAGTTACCTTGATTATAACCCTGCTTTCTAAGTCCCATGATCCTTTTCAGTATGATTATGATGCTGATGATTGTGGGGATCATGATGAGGATGATGATGAGCCAAAGCCCTCAGCCCTAAGCCTGAAAAAGACGCCCTAAACCCTAAACCCTAAACCCTAAACACTAAACCCTAAACCCCATTTCGCAGAGGCATCCTGCGCTATCCGGAGCAAACGCCCCAAGGATCCAGACCTAAGTGGCCTGGCTGCGCAGTGCCCTTCAGCGAAGCTACCTTAGGGTAGGGTTTAGTAGGGTTTAGGGTTTAGGGTTTAGGGTTTAGGGTAGGGTTTAGTAGGGGTCACGGTACATGGTTTAAGGGCTAGGTTGGGGTTAAGGGTGTGGAATTACTGGGTTCGTTCAAGGTATGTGCTTCTGGTCATTAGTGATTAGTGCGGTCAAAGCTTAGCTTTAATCTAGGCACGGATGGTGAAACTCTTGCGTGCCGGAGCTGGCAGTAGAGATCTCGGCACAAAACATTCGAAACCCGGAAGCAGAGCTCAGCTTCCGCTGAGGCCTGTCGAACGTATCCTAACCCAACTTTTATGGGCAGTCTATTATAAGGTTTAGGGTTTAGGGATTAGGGTTTGGGGTTTAGGGTTTAGGGTTTAGGGTTATAATTTGACTCCAGGGACAAGGAGTTTGGAAGCTCCGTAGGTAAAAAACCGAACTTGCCAGACCGGCATGTGAGGAGAGCGGCAGAATTGAATTCCTCTGCTGCGTCTGCCCTTGGCTTTGCCAAGGAAAGCTTGAATTACTTGCGCTCTTCTCAAACCTGAGGGATGAAGAAGTTTAGGGTTTAGGGTTTAGGGTTTGAAACCCCCAAACCCTAAACCAAGCAGGCCAGGGCTCGGGCCGGATCTCTCTCCCGGATTTCAGGCTATCTAGCGGTCTACAGGCATGCTTCACAAGGAGCAGATGCAACATAGAAGAGGATTTCGGAGGTATAGCGGCACGATCTCAGGGTTTACCGATTAGCTGTAAGGTCTAGTTACGATTTATCTGGCAACCCAGGCACAAAAACCGCAGGAAAGAAAAACGTTCTAGTTTAATTGTGTTTCAAACGACGATAATATTGACTACAACCTGAGCCGGTGCAAAACGGGACCGAAGGTATCACAGTGCTCCCAGTAGTTCCATCATGTACGCGCTCGCTTGTTGACGAATGGCCTATGCTCCCGAACCCGGAACCCCAAGCCCTCAGGAATTGAAAGCCTCGGACTAAACCGGTCTGTATTCCTGCTACAGTCAAGGCCCTAAGTCACATCACTTTTTGTTGGAACGCAGCTGTCTACGGGGACGCACGCGATGCGATGAGGTCACATCATGGTCACACCAACATGGCTTTCCCCATGTATTCGCCGCGCCAGCAAGGTTGCATCCACTAGACAAAAACACATGGTAACCTAGCCATTCCCCACGTGGACGCCGGATTTGAGAAGCACCCACGCCAGACACACGTCGGTGAAACCATGACACATCCGAACTAGCTATTCCCAATGTAGGCGCTCGATTTCACAAGCACACACTCAAGGCAAATAATAGTGGCATCACAGCACAACCAAGCCAACCATTCTCCATGTAGACACCCGATTTGGGAAGAACCCACGCAAGACAGTCGGTGGAATCATGACACATCAGTCACAGCTATTCCCAATGTACACGCTCGATTTCACAAGCACACACTCAGGGCAAACATGCAGACGCCGGAGTTGAGAAGCACCCACTCAAGACACGCGTCAGTGGAATCTTAACACATCAGAACCAGCTATTCGCAATGTAGTCGCTCGATTTCACAAGCACACACTGCGCAACCAAGCCAGCCATTCCCCATGTAGACGTGCGATTTGAGAAGCACCCGCGCACGACACACGTCGGTGGAATCACAACACATCAGAGCCAGCTAACACAGGCACACGCCGAAGATAAACATCAGTGGCATCACAGCACATCCAAACCAACCTTTTTCAGTGTGTGTTCGGCGCCGATCAGGGTGACTGAGACCACCGTGGCAGTGGAAGCGCTATCAGAAGAGCTAACAACCCTGGTCAAGCCCATGCCTCCTCTGCCTCGAGGTCTAAGACTACGAGTTGCTTTTAAGAGTTTAGGGCCTTGGGTCGGGGATTTTACTTATTGCGACCATGACCATGCGTTACTATGTTTGATACGGCCTGTCAAGGTTCTGCGGGGAGGGGGGGGG